CATGTATGTGAACAGGAGGTCATAGTTTATCTCTACTTCATCGTTTTGCACTTTTTAACCAATCCGTGGCCTCCCCGCACATATTCTTCCATTCTTTTTTTACATATTCTATGCATGTCACTACAAATCAATTTCAGAACACATACTAGATGGAAGCATTTAAGGCTTTACAATTCTAGAGCCTGGCGCTCCTAAAGAACGTGTCAGATCGTCGCTTTTGAGACCACACTGGCTTTAAATGACGTCAGTGCCTCTTGCCTTGAAGCAGGCACGTATATGTGGTGGCGTGTTACTGCGTTCGTGTCAAGTTTGAATTACAGAGAATTAGCACGCCCAACACGGTTCTTCAGCACTGGCTTGCGCCGTGAACTTCAATGTCCCCAGAGTAGTTTCCCCAGATGTTTCCCACCGGCCGGGCAAAAATCGTTTGGAAATCCCTCGCACGTAGAAGCTAGCGCAAAGATGGAAATGCGCACAAACTATGCAAAGATCGGCGGAAATGCCAGAAAGCTACCATTGAATCGACGCTATAGCCTTTGGAAGCCCACGGTTGGAACCAATCGCAGCTGACGGCCGGCGCGTTACTATTTGACCGGGCTCGGTGATATGCAGGGTTTCACGGCTTGGTCGCACGGGCGTTTTTGTGGGTTCTCTCTTTTCAACGGCGGTGAGCTCTGGAACAAGCATCTGGTGGTATCCGTGATTGTTTTCGGCGCGTTTGCTGGTGGATGCTGTATGCCATGCTCATATTTTTTTTTTATTTCCCCACTCGGTGGGCTTTCTGGTACGTTGTCTGTAACGGACTCGAAAGATGGCCTGGAATACTTGCATGCCTCTTGAATGTTGTACACGCTTGTTGATGATGTTTCTCAGCCTGGCTAGTTTCCATGACTTGAGAGGTTACTTCTCTACTATTTCAACTAGTAACGGTCCCAGAGGGACTTGTTTGACGTACCTGATGTGTCGGTTTCCAACTTCATCCATAAGCATCACTGGGATTTTGATCCTTGGGTGTGTCTACGAATCTGTTGAGTCCAAGCGGTTTGGGTGTTGGGTAGCTTACTAATGACTGATGAACTAAGACCTCTGGAAGAGGCAAAATGCTCGCCGCCTCCGGGGTGGCCACCCAAGCCTCTGGGGCGCCACCCAAGCCTCTGGGGCATGGGGCGTCCTGATGTATTCACACTAGCGGCTGGTGTCTGGGGTACCTCTTCACGCTGGTGTGTTGCGTCCAGTCTGCTGCCCCACGCGTTCCCCCAGCTCGAGCCTGGTTGGGGCCCGAGTTCACCCTGCCTCGCATGGGACAGACGGCGCCAGCTGAGTGTGCCGCGCCGCCGGATGAGTGCGCCGCACCGCCGAATGAGTGTGCCGCACCGCCGGCTGAGTGTGCCGCACCGCCGGCAGAACGTGCCGCAACGCCGGCTGAGTGTGCCGCATCGCCAGCTGAGTGTGCCATACGGCCGACTGCCTGTGCCGCACCGCCGGCTGAGTGTGCCTTGCCGCCGGCTGAGTGTGCCGCGCTGCCGGCAGGTACTGTCTGCTGCTGGCGAGCTGCGGCGCCGCCCCGGCTCATGTCCGACGCCGCTGTCTGGCCGCCCTCTGCGGCCTGTTCGAGAGCTTCAGCCCCGGCCCGGACGCGCCGGCTCCACCCCAGGTGCGCACGGTCACCGCCCGCTGTGAAGGACCTGTCCTCTCTCTGATGTGCTGGTCACGTACTGCTGAGTTAGCTGAGCCTCTATTCGCCGAGGGCTGATACTCAGTGCGACATTGGGGCCACATTGCGACATTGCGACAATGCGATACTCATTGCGACATTGTTGTCGTCACTTTCCCTTTGCATACTGGTGCGCTGGACTGCGTGCGATTTAACCATTGGAACTGAATGTGGAGCACTCATGACACAAATGCCGCCGCCATGTTATTGTGAGCACTGTAATCAGTTCTGTCGTAACTGCGGTCTTGTCATTAGCGATTCAGTATCACTGCTCCCATCAGCCTCCCCGGACAATACAGCCGAACAGAAAACCAGCCACCACCAGTTAACAACAGCCTCGCATTGTCTTCGGTGTGTGCTGACGAGAGCATGGACCTGTCAGACGGGGGCGGTGGGGGGGGGGGGGGGGGGGGGGGGGGGGCGGAGGGGTTGCCGGCAACCAGCTGAAGGAAGGCAGGCCATGCGTAACTACCGCTGCGGTGCAGTTCATCCGTGTCTATAAGCTGGCGTGCATGACAAGTATTCACAACATGAGCCGTCATGCGCGATGTCTTTAGGTTTATTTGTCGATGGGCACGTGTTACAAATGGATAATGCAACTAGAAATTATGACAGACATTTATATCATATTTTTGTAATATCCGTGTGCTGCATTTGGTCGATTGAGCAGGAAAGCGTGCATATGTAAGGATACGCATGGAGAAGTTCATATCCAACGTTGCACATGGCACGTTTGTTATGGAACGATATCGGAGCTAAAGATTTATGCCAGCTTTAACCGTAACCGTTCAAACCCATTAAGTGTGAGAAACTGGTTTCAGCCAACGGAAATTCAGCTGTGGTCAGCGATCAGTTGACAATCTCCGTACCACGTTCCCGACACCTAGCGAGCCGTCGGCGCACCATGACTTGGGGTGTCTCCGCCAGGTGGCGCGGTCATCGGCGCGGCTGCGCCGGCTGCTGCCGGAGTTGACGTCGCTGTCAGGCGGCGGCCGTGCGCCTGGCACCGTGGTGGGCGTGGCGTGCTGTCTGGCCTGGCTGTGTCTGCTGACCGCGGGCCTGCAGGAGGCGGCCGACGCGCTGGCGGCTGTTCTTGGTGACCTGGAGAAGAGCTACTCCGACCAGACTGAGAGGTCGGCAGCGGCAAAGGGGAGAGTGCCGAACACAGGGCACGTCAGCCGCGGAGCAGGGTAGCGTGCTGGACGCAGGAACAGATCAACCAAGGCACAAGGGAGTGTGCTGAGCATAGGACCAGGTCAGCCATCGGACAGGGAAGCGTGCTGGACGCAGGACGCAGGTTAGCCACGGCACAGGGGGGGGGGGGGGGGGGCGTGCTGGACACCAAGACAGGTCACCTATGGGACAGTAAAGAGTACCGGACACAGGGACAGGTCAGCGATGAAGACGATGGGAATGACAGACGCGGGGAGAAATCAAGACGAGGAGATAGCTAGAGACAGGGGAGTGACAGAGATAGACATGAGTGAGGATGGGGGACCGGTCAGCGGCGGAGTAGAATGGCAGCGAGGCAGACAGGGAGAGAGAGAGAGATAGAGAGAGGAGAGAGAGAGAGAGGAGAGAGAGAGAGAGAGAGAAAGAAGAGAGAGAGAGAGAGAGAGAGATAGAAGAGAGAGAGAGAGAGAGAGGAGAGAGATAGAGAGAGAGATAGAGAGAGAGAGAGAGAGAGAGGAGAGAGAGAAGAGAGGAGAGAGAGAGAGAGAGAGAGAGAGAGAGAATAGAGATAGAGAGAGAGATAGAGAAGAGAGAAGAGAGAGAGAGAGAGGAGAGAGAGGAGAGAGAGAGAGAGAAGGAGAGAGAGAGAGAGAGAGAGAGAGAGAGAGAGAGAGAGAGAGAGAGAAGAGAGAGAGAAGAGAGAGGAGAGAGAGAGAGAGAGAGAGAGAGAGAAGAGAGCGAGAGAAGAGAGAGAGAGAGAGAGAGAGAGAGAGAGAAGAGAGAGAGAGAAGAGAGATAGAGAGAGAGAGAGAGAGAGAGAGAGAGAGAGAGAGAGAGAGAGAGAGAGAGAGAGAGAGAGGAGAGAGAGAGATAGAGAGAGGAAGAGAGAGAGAGAGAAGAGAGGAGAGAGAGAAGAGAGAGGAGAGAGAGAAGAGAGAGAGAGGAAGAGAGAGAGAATAGAGAGAGAGAGAGAGAGAGAGAGAGAAGAGAGGAGAGAGAGGAGAGAGAGAAGAGAGAGAGAGAGAGAGGGAGAGGAGAGAGAGAGAGAGAGAGAGGGAAGAGAGAGAGAGAAGAGAGAGAGAGAGAGAGAGAGAGAGAGAAGAGGAGAGAGAGAGAGAGAGAGAGAGAGACTCGCTCTGTGCTCTCTACTGCGCGGGTTTGGGCCGTGGCTGTCGCGGGGTGTGCGGTGTTGATGCCGCCACCAGTCGGCTGTGCCCCTAACCAGCACCGTCCCCCGCAGCGTGCTGTCTGACCTGCACCGAGCCGGCTGCCGACTGCTGCTGGCCGCCCGGCCGCTGGCGGACCCGCTCAGCTGGCAGCGCCATCTGCGGAGGGCGCTGCGGGCTGCGCTGGAGCGCCGGCCGCTGGACCGGGAGCTGGCCGGTCTGGCTGTCAGCCACTGTCGCCTCAGCTGGTGGCAGGAGCTCAGGTGGGCGACGGCGGCGGCTTGGACGGTGTGTCCAGCTCCACGACCTGCCTGCTGGCATGTGTGGTGGTGGAACCCCGAACCCCGTTAATGTCGTGGGCCGGGTGGAATGCGTGGATTCGCGATTGTAGTCGTCCAAGCGTCCCAGATGTCACTGCTTGTTTTCCCTTTCCCCTCCTCCTCCCTCTTTGCCGTATGTCGCAGTCGTCGACTGTCACTCTCGTGTATGCGCTGCATGCCTATATGCTTACACCTATCATCAAACTCTCAGTGCGGTCAGCTGCCGTGCCTCAGCATATTTGGGTGTGCTAGCTCCCTCAGCTCCCTGGTGGTAGCCTTGGACCCCATCTAGCTCCAAGGCTGCCATGATGATAGCATGATAAGCTATCATGACGTTCCCCGGCAGACTTTCTTCAAAACTGAGCAGTTTGATCTGACCTCTGACATCTGACCTTCCCCAGAATTGAGTCAGCCGGGTGAGACACCCGGACGTGACCTGACTTGAACTGACCCGCGCCTGCCGACAGCGTGTCGAATGAGCAGGACGCGCCACTGCTGGCCCTGCTGCGGGCGGCCAGCAGCCTGCGCCAGCTGGCGGCGGCTGGGGAGGAGCCAGCGGCGGCGCGGACGAGCGCTGCCAGACTGCGACGCCGGCTGGCGCGCGCCGTGCTCGAGCCTCGCCTGGAGCACTGCCTGCCGCTCTGGCTGCTCTACATGGAGCTGGAGCTGCGCACCGGCGGCGCGGTGGGTGTGAGTCATAGCCTGACGTGCACCGGCCCCGGCTGAAGTGTAGCAATCCCGGCTGAGATGTCCCGCCCTCGGCTGAGGTTTAGCCGCGGGCAAACACGAAAGGGGATTGAGCTGGGAATTTGGAACATGAAAGGGTATTGGGTTGGGGGATGGGAGCACGAAAGGGGATTGGGTTCCGTGGTTGGAAGTGGTGAACCGTGGCCAGCATGTAGTTTTGCTGCGGGCGGAGAAACAGCTGGCGCTGTGTGGACCGTGCTGTGTGCTCCGTGCTGTTTGACTTGCTGCTGTGTAGCTCCCAAACGGACTGGCTTCGCGATGTGCCGCAACCTTTTCCCTCCTTGAATGCTGCTGACTTGGACAGTGTGTCGTCTCGGCTCGCCGCTGATCGTAACACCACCACTGCCGCGGCAGGAGCTGGAGGCCATCTGCTACCGCGCAGTACAGGCGTGCCCCTGGTCCAAGCATGCGCACCTGTACCTGGCCGGCCGCCAGCTGGCGCGCGCCTGCGACCTGATGTCGCGCGCCGGCCTCCGCCTGCGCCTGCCGCTAGAGGAGCTTGATCTCCTGCTGGAAGAAGAGCCGGAGCTAGCGGCGGAGAGAGCCGCCGAGGAATCGGAGAGAGCCGCAGAGCTGGCGGATAGAGCGCTACGCACGGAGGGAGGGCGGACGGGGACGGCGAAAGCCAGCCGCTCGGACCTGGAGACGGACGGCGACTCCGAGTCGGCGGACGGAGAATCGCTGTCGGTGAGCGACAGTGACTCTGAGTCGTTGAAGAGTCATGATTCGGCGAGAGGTGGCGAGTCGGATGTGGGCGAGGGAAGCGTCGGAGAGCTGGCCCGACTCGAAGACTAAATGCCTCCGTGTCGGTGGTGACTCAGACACTGACTCACGGCATGGTGGGTCGGTGTCTGGCGAGAAAGCATCGGATGCGCTGCACTGCCTGCGCCGGCCGTCGCAGTGCGGTCTAAGGCAGAGGTACACGCGACGAATTCGTGGGAGCGTGCGAGCCGCTCTCGTCGGTCACTTGGCAAGGTGTTCGGACGCTTGTGGTGCCCACAGTTTAAGACTATCTGTGGCAGTTGCGGTACTGTCTGTTTGCGCACACAAGCGTCGTTAAAACGTACTGCATTGTCATCCTGTTCCATTGAAGACATGTTATCGTGCCATGCAGTATTGGTGAGCGCCTGTTCGCTGCGAAATAAAAAAGAGTCGGTACATCGCGCCAGCCACCGTATTTTCACAGCAGTCCACCAGGGGTGACGGGAACATCTCTTTTACACGGTGGAGCACGCTGTCCATGAAGCAAGCATCCCACAGTATGGCCCGCTGGATCGCAGCTGACCGCCAGTATGGCCCGCTGGATTGCAGATGACCGCCGGTATAGCCCGCTGGAATGCAGCTGACTGGCGGTATGGCCCGTTAGATTGCAGCTGACCGACAGTATAGCCAACTTGATTTCAGCTGGCCAACAGCATGACCCATTAGATATCAGCTGGCCGACAGTATAGCCCGCTTGATTACAGCTGGCCGACAGTATGGCCCGCTAGATTGCAGCTGACCGACAGGTATATCCCGCTTGATTGCAGCTGACCGACAGTATGGCCCGTTAGATTGCTGCTGACCGGCGGTATGACCCGCTGGATTGCAATTACTGGCAGTATAACTCGCTGGATTGCAGCTGACGGACAGCATTGCCTGCTGGATTGCAGCCGACTGAGTGTACAGACTGCTGGATTGCAGCTGGCCGGATGTACTCCCCAGATGAGTGGGAACACGTGTTGTGCGTTTGTTATCACAGCATGCTGCGATTGGTCCACCGTCAGATAGCGTCGTTGTCGGAGGTTCAGTGATAGATCACACATCTATGAGTGGGTAGTCCAGGATCACCTGATCAACAGTGAAGACATGTCCAGCCATGAAGTCATGATACAAAGCCGTCACTTAAGCCCATAGGGCCACAAAGTGCTGGCAAACAGAGCTAGGAAGCGGCAGGAAGCGCCCAATTCGAAACTTGCGAGCCCTTCTATACCCAGTCCTGCGTCTGTGTCCGTAGCGTTGACTGGTGGGGCTGTTGCTAGCGTGTGGCTGGTGTGGCAGTGGCGTGTGGCTGTGGCTAGTGTGTGGCTGGTGTGGCGGTGGCGTGTGTGGACTGGTGTGTGACTGGTGTGGCAGTGGCTGTGGCTGTGGCGTGGCTGTGACTGTGACTGGTGGGGCGGTGGTGTGTGACTGGTGTGGCAGTGGCGTGCGGCTGGTGTGGCAGTGGCGTGTGGCTGGTGTGGCGATGGTGTGTGCCTGGTGTGGCAATGGTGTGTGACTGGTGTGACAGTGACGTGTGACTGGTGTGGCAATGGTGTGTGACTGACGTGACAGTGGTATGTGACTGGTGTGGCAATGGTGTGTGACTGGTGTGGCAATGGTATGTGGCTGGTGTGACAGATGTGTGTGGCTGGTGTGCCAGTGGTGTGTGACTGGTGTGGCAATGGTGTGTGGCTGGTGTGACAGTGATGCGTGGCTGGTGTGGCAATGGTGTGTGGCTGGTGTGACAGTGGTTTGTAACTCGTTGCCGGGTATGAGCGGGGGCCAGAGGGCTTAAGCATCTCTCCGACGTGAGCCAGTTGGACCGGTCAGATGACGCCACCTGCTCGCCGACGAAGGCGTGGCCGAGGCGCGCATGCCTCGCACTGCGCGCTGCGCACCACCCGTACCGAACTTTAAACAGGCACAACGCACACAACCAGTCAATATTCGGGTATTCATGCGATCGATGACCAGCACGCGCGTACCCTTACGCGTTGATAAAGGTTAGCCAGCGAGGGGCGGAGAAACATCAGGATCGGCCAAGCAAGTGAGCGGAGTGCTTGTGACAGCCGCTGTTCAAGCTTGCTCGAGGTGCCATAGCAGCGATTGACCCATGTGAATCGCAGACAGTTGGGTCCACATGCGGCATCACGCGTTGTATTTCCTGCACAATCCGCCAAATGCATGATATCTGTGCCATGATTGCAATATGAATTAGCATCTGAACCTGCAATTAGCATATGAGCAACAGCAGCACAGTACCCTCCAAGAAAATGCATAGAGATGAACGACAACACGGAAGGCTCCTTAGCAATCGGATGGATCTTGGAAGTGGACATGTAGGGCCTCAGCAACAGCAAAGAGATTCTGGATAGCGTAATGAGCCCCAGGGTCTCCCCCAATCACGACCCTCTCGATTAACAAATAATACGTGTCTGCTCACGGGCACTTTACTTTCGTTTGTAACTCGTCTTGATTGTCTTGAGGCCAAAAGACGTTCAATTTTGTTGTGTTTTTGTCAGAAGACTGCGTTTGTTCTGCGGGCTATGGACAACCTCGAGGCCTATGGGTTCCCTAGGCCATTCGGAGTACAAGGGGGCGTGGCCCGCGCTCCGCCCCCCCCCCTCCCCCCACACCCCCGCCCCGCTTCAAGATCTGTCACTGGCCCGAAGAGCAAGAGGGCATAACCCTCCGTTTAGGTACCAAATACTCAAAACCTAATTTGTAGAACCCTGAACGATCGCGTGTGCTCGAGCAAGTTAATAGATGGAGCCCCGACTTGAGCAAAAGGCCAGAGTATTCGAACAGAAATTACCCAAGGCCCGATGTGTAGGGTCCCCGAACGATCAAGTGTGCATGAATGGGTTGACAGATGAGGTTCGGACAAAGGCGTAGGGACCTGCAAAGCCAATAGGAAGAAGCCGAAACCTAGTGTGGTGGGTTCCGAACGTTCGAGTGCCCGAGCGGCGTAATTGATAACGCCCCCAACAAGAGCGGAGTGTATTTCGCAAGTGGCAGGGACTTGAAACGCCCTTAGACCAGCATACAGGGCCCATGAGAACAGCGTGAGTGTCTTGTCTGCACAGTCTGCGAATGATAACTTTGCCTTTTCTTGGGCACTTTAACTCTTGCCTACAACTGTTGGTGGTCACTTGGAGCCCAGAGACGTCCTATTTTGTCGTGTCTTGTATCAAAAACTGCGTCTGTTCGCCAGCTATATGCCCCTTCGGGCCCAAAGCGGCGGGGGTCCCATTGACCACGTGAACCCCCCCCCCCCCCCTCTGGACTTTCCACTGGGTTCAGTGGTGTCAAAGTGTATTACATTAATTATGCGCACCATGATGTGGGCGGCGTTTCTGAGGTGTGCTATGCATTCCGTTAGTCGGGGGATTCAATGGTGAGCCGAGACTAACCTCCTTCCGACAACTTTCAACCTGCACGTCGTATCAGTGCCTGGCTGGCCTCGTCCAACCCCAGTGTTGGATTTATTACTCTAGGCATTGGACGTGTGACGCTACACCAGTGCGCCATTCCGTCATGCATCTGCTTTGAAGCCTGGATTTGGTTATGCAGCTGCTTGGGAGAGGCCGCACGTGTGGAGAACGTTCGTCGCGTCACTCGTAACGGCCCAATGGAATGTAAGGAGGTGACTGTTTCCATCGGTGACCTGAGAGCCTTGATATGGCCGCTGGAAAAGCCGCTGGTCAGCCCGCAGGTCGCCTGGCAGGCGTTAGACGTTTGGTGGAAAGCCCGCTGATGATTCGGTACGTCCCAGTCAGTCCATAAACAAACAAGGCATACAATGTTCCGTGGCCAGCCCTGAGAATGCGTCATCCCGCCCGTTTGTATATACATAGTCGGTAGCTGAGCTCCTGGCGTTGGCCAGAGCGGGCGGGGACTCCGAAGTGATTGCAGGCTCGCCAACTTCGCGTCCGACTCTTGGAGTCAGCGCCGAGGGGGTCGCCGCACAGCGTTCACCAGGTCACCAAGGCCCGGCGTGGTGACCAGTGGGTCACGAAAACGTCCACACGGGTGGTCTCCGTGTTAGCAGCAAGTCGCCAGCGAGCTGCCGCCGCCCGTCGAGTGTTTGCCGGGCGCCCTGAGCCAGGCCCGGGTCATCTTCGTCGTCGGTGGCCTCCGCCCGGCCGCATTTTCGTCTAGCCCGGACAGGAACGCGACGGCCAGTCATGCTACCGCCGCCATGCGCCGTCTCCCTGCTCGTGCTGCTTCCTGTGCTGGCCGCGACGGTACCCACCGAGCCGGCGACGCCGTCGGCCCAGCTGGCGGCCATTCTGGGCCCTGCCGTGGAGGAGGCGGTGGGCCGCGCGGTCGCCGGCTGGCAGCAGGCCGCGCTGGACAGCCGCCTCGGGCGGCTGGAGGAGAGCGTTCAGGCCGTCCGCCTTCAGCTGACGGCGCTGGCCGCCGGGCAGCCGGCGCCGGCCGCCGTCTGTCCGACGCCGACGCCGACGCCGACGCCGACGTGTGAGGAGCGGCCGAGCCCGGCGGCGGCGGAGGCGCCGCTGGTGGCGCCGGCGGTGCGCGCATGCGCCCGCTCCTGTCCTGCAGCTGCGCGACCGCACCGACCCGCTGCCGGACGGCGTCTACTGGCTGCGCGGACTGCCGGTGCCGGCGTTCTGCGACTTCAGCCATGACGGCGGTGGCTGGACGCTCCTGCTGACCGCCGTGTCGAAGGAGGGCTGGGACGCGCTCAGCGTCTTCGGCCGCAGCGAGCGCTCGCCGTCACTGATCGACAACTACTCCATCTTGCGGCACGCCGACGCCATCCGCGACCTCGGCCACGAGTGGAACGTTCGCCTACAGGATCGAGACACACGCGCAGGAGGGCCGCCGGCGGTGGGGAGGGGTGTGGTTCGCACCGCGCCGGTATAGCTTTACAAACCAGACGCCGGCGCAGACGGAGGTCAGCTTGGTGCGCCGCTTCGACAGCTGGGCGTACGTGAGCCAGGGCGTGAAGAAGCGGATGCCCTGGGTGAACACGGGCGCGCGGGGAGATGGTCAAGGGAATGCTGTCCTGACGACGGCGGAGGTGACCGGCAACTGGTGGGGCACCATGGTCACCTCCCCAGTAGACAAAACGTACCAGCATAGTCCGTGGATATTTCCCGTCGCCAAGGATTCGGGCACGGTGTTGTACTGGTTGAGAGAGGAGGCGTTCTAACGCTCTCGACGGCTCGTTTTCATGCTTTTTTTTAGTTGATGAAGAAATGTAAATGTGCAAATTTGTCAAGTGAAAACCGGGTTCTTGAGTGGTTTCGTTGAAAGTTGCCTTAAGTGTACTGTTTGTGTGAAAGAGTTCGTTAGTTTTGCGGAGGACCATCGACATGATTCGAAAACAGACGTTAAAAAGGAAGAGTCTATATTAGCCAACGGGCTGCAAAGTGAAGGTAAGAGAGGCGTTG